TTCACTCCAACCTGTTTTCATTACTTTCAAAACCGGCTCCCAGACCCCTGATTCTTCTCAAAGATAAGAATGTGTTTTCTGACCAATAGCGGGGCCAGGAAATTTGTACAACGATTTTGGAGGGAAAAGTCCCCGATCCTTCTGAGCCTCCATAAATTTGGAGAATCTACACCTATTTGGCAGTGAGACTTCATCCCAAGGTCGACGATAGGGAGCTTCAGTCAACTTCAGAACCACTTTCAACCAAAGAAGAAATTCCTGCCGGGATGGAGAGACAGACGGTTAGCCCACTACTAAAAACCAATCCTTCTGTCGTACCCACTGGACGTCTGTCATCGACCTACGAACTCACTCAACTGCAAGATTCCTATATCTACCAACAATTTTCCTACTCTACAAGAACTGTGAGTGTTTCTAAACCTTAACAAAATTCTACTCGCTTAAAGAACATTTTAGGCGCTCAGAGAAATCTTTTGAGCAAGCCTTTTTTTCTGTTATGAACATTTTCTCTTCCCTTAAAGGACATTTTCTCTTTTCCCTTTCTTTCACTCCTAATTGTCTTTATCCCTTTACCTTTTTTCTGTATATGTAAATAAACACTTTCTTCTTTTATTGTTAGTCACCGAGCAGGAGGTTTTTTCTTTATTCGTCCGCGCCTAAAAAGAGAGAGTTTGTCCGCTCTAATCTTGCTGTTTTTTACTCGCGTTTTGTCACGATTTTTTAACCTCAAGCCAATTTTTTTAACTTCAACCCTTGGATGCGGGAAAGCCGGGAAAAACGTTCCCCGCAAGAAAGAATACTTATCTGGTCTCACAGTGAAAAAGAGTTTGTGCTTACAAGAAATATTTCTTTGTGAAATACAACCTGGATATAAGAGAGTTGTCGGGACCGGAGAAGAAGTCTCTTATATCCGGGTTTCTCTTATATCCGGATCTCTTATATCAGGGTTACACTGTACTTGAGCTTTCTGTGACAAGAAAACTATGAAAATTTGTTTGATAAAAAGGAACTTTAAATCGTCACTTAATTTCAAGAAGTTTCTGTTTTATACTAAAATGAAGTTTAGTTTTGTCACTTTTGTGCACCTCTGAAATAAATCTAATTGGAATACAACTTGCCGCTTAACAAAAATGTTCACCAAGAGGATAAATTCCGTTGAATAGAATTGAGTGAGAAAGTTTCTTTGAAGTAAATCCTGAACCAAACTTGTAGCTTCAGAAGGTTTTTTTTATCATAGTGTTTTCCTTGCTGGTGAAAAATTGCTAAAACTGGAAAATTCAAGTCAGATTTCGAAGGCCAAAAGCCAAGCCCATCATTGGTGATTTTAACCAATTTGGTATTTATAGTGACGTTTTATTTATTGTACAGAATACAATTATGGCACAAGGCCGAAAAAGGGGAGGGATTGAGGCTGGTCTTAACTAACTATCCTATACCTAGCTAATCCGATTCATGAGCCATTCACTCATTAAAATTTGCCCATTCACCACAAAAACTCGTCCATCACCAATCAATCCTCCATACACCATAATACCGCATCCCTACAGGGGGGGGGGCTACAAAACGCTCCCCATACCATAAAAATTTGTATTTATACTGACAATGGTGAAGAATTTAACTCTCAAATTTTTCGTGGTGTAGTTTAAAATTTAAATGTGTCTATCAAAACCACAGCTTCATATAGTCTTGGTGTAGTTGAAAGACGCAATCCCACATAAAATGAGGATATACAGAAAATATGATAAAACACACTTATCATGGGAGACAGCTTTTTGTTGGGCTATAAATATTAAAAATTGTCTTTTAAGTGTACATGGATATAGTCCATATATCAGTAGTCCTTAAACACAGTAGCAACCTAAACAAAAGTTGTATCAGCAGCAGCTCTCGAATATAACGTGAACCCTAAAATAACTCTCTCTCTCTCTCTCTCTCTCTCTCTCTCTCTCTGGGTTTTCCTCTTTTGAACTGGTGACATGAACTTTCACGCTGAAGCTAAAAGTGCTGCGAACGTTTCACACTAAAACACACTAGCCCAATCAGTTACACTATAACATATTCATGAACATTTCGTTGTGCATGCAATTTACTTCTAAAAGAAACTCTTGTTTAAAACTTTCCTTGTCTTAATTTTGTTTTGATAAATGTTAGCGTGCATTGCAAATCAATTAGTTATTTTATGCATGTACTCTTTTTCACCACCATTATTTCATGTATTATAAAAATGTTCCCGGAAGAAACCTTATACTTTTAATTATTGAAGTAGCTAATTACTAAACTACTTTATATAATGGCAATAGTAAAATAGATGTCCCTATTAAATATTTTGTGGGTAATAAAGATTTATATGAAGCTATCTACTCCAAAAGTTAAACCTGTGAATAGAACAGTTATCTAAAGAAGAAAGAATAATTAAAAGTCCCAGTGTTGCACGTGGATTTTCCAAAGCCCGCTTTTGTTTTTTCATATTTCAGTTAAATGGATGCACCGGTTTTTAAAGTGTATTTTCAATATTATTTAAATTTTTTTTTTTTATTACCATCTATGGTTTTTCCATTATTTGAAGATTGTAATGAAAATCTATAAAGAGCCCTTGTATATTTGATCTGTTATCTGCTTTTATTAAAACTAAAGAAATTTGTGTGCAAGCTTTTTTGTAAAAATTGTATTTTGTTATATTGTTTTAATGTCTGTGGAATAAATTTTTGTTCCTTTCAAATTCCATATAATAGTTTCGAGTCATGTTTATTTTTTATGCACCTTTTTCTATAACCAGGATAAGAAAAGTGACGTTCTGTAGGAATATTTCCCATGTGTGGGTGTGCGCTCGGTAGGGAGAGTGGAATGAACAAGCTCAAGGCACGAAATAACAGCTTTTATTTGTGGTTGAAAAGCGAGTGCAAAATAGTGGTATTTTGCGAGGGAAAAAATGGGTTTCCTAGTTAACACTGTTTAGATATTTTGGGGAGAGAGAGAGAGAGAGAGAGAGAGAGAGAGAGAGAGAGAGAGATCTCCGTTTATCCCGGAGGAACGAGAAATCTGGGTGTGAAACTGCTGGGAGTGGTACGTGTCTTCTGCAGCAAGGGTTGTGTGTAGTTTTTTTCTTTGAGTAGGTGACTCGAAGGGAGATTTCTCCACCTGTTCCATCGAGGAACGAGAAATCTGAAGACAAGCTGCCATGACAGGCCACGTGTCTTCTACAACAACGTTTTGAGTAGCCCTTTTTTACTGCATTGAAGGTTGCGACCACTGAAAAAGAAAAGTGGAAAAGAGACCGAATAGGGCTCGATCAGCGATTTTATGATTTCTGGGACTTCCTGGTTGTACCTTGCTGATTACTTCCGTTGTTGCTACTGCTGAATCGAGCAAAGTAAGGAAACCGTCACATGCCACATGCCACAATAGACAAAAGCGAGATAGTTTCTATAGTTCTCTCTTTTCCTATTCCTTCCTAGTGAATAAATCATTTTAAGGATGCTTCTGTGATCACTAGAATCTTAACCTTTTAACCTCTTCAAGCTGAGGGTCAACTGTTATCTCTCCTATATATCCTCATAATATGCGCATCTTTCTCCCTCCGGGTATGCCCTTACAACAACCTCATTTAGTAACCCTCTAGCTTGACTGACTCTTGGGTCTTGTATTGGGTGAACAATAGTAAAAAAAAATATCATAAGGAATCTGTTACATTTTTGTAAAAAGTTTTATATCATAATTATTGTTATGGCGCTGGGATAGATGAACCGATTGTATCCTCTTGAAGTGTTCTATAATTGTGGCCTTAAGCCGAACTAAGATCAACTAAGAAAGTTGGTTCACTGTGTTGGGCAGGACAATTTTTCTCTCCGGAATCTATCTTGCATATCTATATGCTTAGAATATTGCTGCCATATATGGTCTGGTGTCCGTGCTATTTTTCTAAAGCTCCTTGATAAGACCCAAAGAAGAATCAGCAATATTATTGGTCCTGTTCTGTCGGCCCGCCTTTAGTCATTTTCCCACCGCTGTAAGGTTGCTTCTCTGTGCCTTTTATATAAATATTTTCATTGTAATTGTTCGGATGAGTTCTTCACTATGGTACCTAGACTGTATGAATTTAAGCGCAATACTAGACTGGTGGCGACATTTCATCAATTTACAGTTGAGCTGGTTAGATGTAGCCGTAAGTTCTATGCTAACAGTTTCTTATCTTTCACTTCTCTCTTGTGGAACTCCCTCCCGGCTCCTTGCTTTCCAACCAACTTTAATCTGCAAAAAATTAAATGCAATGTCAATCGCTATCTACTGTCCTCCTGATTGCTCTTTTCTCTTTTTCCTCATTACTAATGTTTCTGTTCCTAATTCCTCTACATCCTGTAACCCCTTGCGTACTAGTGACTGTACTGTCGTGCTTGAGGTGATACCGATTAAAAAAAAATTAGTAAATACGCAGTACAAGATTGGCGGCAAGGTCTCATCATTTTACAGTTTAAATAGTTAGATATAACTAAGTTCTATGTTAACAGTTTATTCTATCAAATTCAAACTTATCGCTTGTGGAACTCTCTTCCAGCTCCTTCCTTCACGGTCAACTTTGATTTTCAAAAATTTAAATGCAATTTTAATCGTTATCTTCTGTCTTCTTTATACCATTTCTTTTATTGTTCATGCTCCTTAATTTTTTTCCTCTAATTCTTTCATACTCAGTAACCCCTTTCATCTTAGTGGCTTTATTGCCTTGCTTGGGGTTCGTTAAAAACTTAAAATGTTTTAAAAAATAGCTTGCTCTTAGACTCTACGAAGTTAAAGAAAGCAAACGCTCTGTTGAAAATTAGTCTGCGGCGTAACAGAAATTGTTCTGGTCATGTATTCTCTTGCGTTTGATCGTGGGCCATGAGCTCAGACAATGTTGCCTTGTGCCAGATTTGGTTTTAAACTCGAACCGGTTCCCAAATTTTCCACTTTGTCGGATTGGAGGTTTCTACAGAGTTATCTCCCGTATCTCTGTAATCACATTCAATATGGCTATCCGTTTTGTTCGCGAGGCAAAAACCAGCTTTCTATGTTTTTTGTTAGGCGCCGCTATTTGTTTTCTTCCGTCCGTTCCCCTTTTGGATCCGTCTTTGCAATATGTGTGGATTGATTTCTGGAAATACCTCCTGGGAATATATGCCTTGGCATTCAATGTCATCATTAGTTTGATATTCATTTCGGACAACAACCTGTATCAGGTAGTCATTGTTACTATTATTACTACTTATTATTATTTCATACAATAGTAAATAATAGTAAGTAAAATAACTATATAACCAGATAAATAAAATTATTCTTGGGTTTATGATTTGACGATATTATTAGTGTTTGTTAATTTAGTTATTATGACGGTGAATTTCTCTTAATTTCTGTTTTTATAGAACATTTTTTTTGTCAAAATTAGTCAATTTTTTCCCCCTTTTATAGTCCATGTGAAAAATATTCGCTTTTTAAAATAGGAATAATGATTTAGTTATTTTTATTAAAAAATAATTCAAACTTTAAAATGTGAAACACTCTCAAAATAAACTCTTGTGTTGGTGCAATTTACTGTCTTGTCATTTGTCTTTTATGTCATTTTGAATTAGGACTTGTGTTAATTGTTTTAATTACGCGGGAAGTCTTTTTTTTTTTTTTTTTTTTAATGATTATTACAGTTTTAAATTGAAATTATCAAACATCGGAATTTTCGGTTCTGTTAAAAAATAACAAATCGACTTAAATAATAAAAATTAAAAAAAAAAGTTTTAAATAATAAAACGTTTCATCATTTAATGTTTTTAATTTTATTTTATTTAATTTTTAAATATATTTTTTTATTGGATTAAGAAATAATGACTGATTTACTGGTCAATTTAAAAATTAAACTAAAAAGTGTTTTTTAATTTTATTTAACAAATATTTTAAAATTATTCAGATAAATAACAAAATTCAAAAATATGTTTTTTCAAAAGTATAATTTGTTTTATGTTAAAAAACATTTTAGTCGTTACATTTAAATTTAATATTTTTTTAAATTTAAATTCTTTTGTTAGATTTTTAAATTGAGATCATTCTTTCTCTTTGTATTAATTTTTTTAAAGAAGAGTTTTACTTTTTTTTTTAAAACAAACTTTGGAATTTATTTTGGTTATTTTGTTAATTTTTAAATTTATATATTTTTAAAATTTAAAACAAAAATTTGATTTATTAAAATTAATAATTTTTTGAGAAATGTCAAATTTGGAGAATTTTCGGGTTTGCTTAAAAAAATAGTGATTTCCATTTTTAGAGGCGTTATTTATTTATTATTTATTTTTCAAATTAACAAATTTGAAAACTTAAAGGGTTAAAAAGTGACTAGTCTACTTTTTTTTCTCAATCACCTGCTTAAAATTTTTAAACAATATGATTAATTGTTAATCTGTTGAAATAATTATATTTTTTTTTTAGTCCTCGGTGTCGATAATTCTATAATCTTTATTCTTTAGAATGAGGAAAGAAATTATGAATAAATGAATTTATATTGCGAAGAAGGAAGAATTTTTAGTTAGTTTCTTGGTAGTTTAGAAACATTTTTCTTCAATCTTGTCACAATAATTGACTTTTTGAGTTTTACTGGAAACTAAAAAAATTGCTGATACAACAATTTCAAATTAAAAACTGATTGACTTAAAAAAATCTTTTTAAATTGCATTGTTTTTTTCAAAGGTTCTCCTAAAATAAAACCGCATTTTTCAAAGTCCGGATTGGTGGGGAAAGGTTTCTTCCATATTCATGATTTTTTTTTTTACTTAAAAAACTAAAAAAAAAAACATTTATTTGCGTTTTTATTATTATTGTAATTATTATTAATTGTATACTGTGAAAGTAAAACGTTACATTTATTTTTTTCACAGTTAAACTGTTAATAATTATTGCATTTTGAAACTTTGTTAGCAAAGAAACACTTAGAGAGACTACGAAAGAAGTTTTAATCAAGAAAATTAATTTAATTTATTAGTTAAATTAATTTAGTTAGCTTTAATTAAAAAATAAATCATGTGTAATTGCTTCGTTTTGCGAAAAAATGTTGGCTCTCTAATTTGTGTCTAAAAAAAAGTTTTAAAAAAAAAAAAATCCCAGAAACTTACAACAAGGAACAGGAGCTTCTTTTGTTGTCCAAACTTAAAAAAAAAAATGTTTCGAATTTTTTATGGTCGTGTCGAACCTTCGTTACTATTCCTATATAAAAAAAAATCCCCATGTAAACTATCCATACAAATTATTCAATAGGGATAAAAAGCTAGCTAAACTTTTGGAAGAGAGAACCTGAGAAAGAACGTGTGCCATGGTGCCTCCCAACAGTCCTGCCTAGATTTTTAAATTCACACTTTTCTTTCTTCTAGAGATAGACTGGCTACCGTCCAAGGCAAGAGAGCACAGTCTACCTTGCTATTTTTAACCTCTGCAGGGAGATGAGTTCATGACTTTTCCAAGTACGAAGTGAACGAAACATAATCAACCGGAGTTTAAAACTCGCCTATAGATCGTGGAAAATTGGAAACCTTAGCAAATATTGTAATATAAAAGTAAAAAAAAAAACTTAATAATTTTTTAGTCTCTTTTCTTTTTTTTCACTAATCAAAAGCAGTACGAATGGAAAAATTCTAAGCGGAACCGGATATATTTGCGTTTAGAAAAAGCTGTTTACTTTCTTTGGGTAAACAAAGCTAAACATTGTCGCCATCGCCTTTTTTGGGTCATCATAAAGAACACGTCGATTTATAAAAAAAAAAAATCTTCTAAAATTCAAAATCATTGAATTTTAAATTTTTAATAAAACTTTTGGCATTCAAAAGAATACAATTAATTATTGAAGCAGTCTCTCTTCAAAATTTTAGAGGAAAAATACATTTTTTATGCGACCCCCCCTTTATTTGATGATTTTTCAATTCAATTGTGTATCGGGGCGTATAAGGTTTACGCTTTTTAAAGATAAGTCTTTGAAAAATAAATAAAAGTTCAGAAATAACTTTAAATAAAAAGTTGATACGGATGTCTTCGACTGGAAATTAAAAAAAATGAACTTGAAATTATGACCCTTGGGCCTTTTTCATGATTTTTTAATTTTGATATTTATTTTTTGGCAATTTTCTGTCATTACGATTTAATAAAATGTTTTTTTTTTTGTTCTTCTTGTATCATTTTGGGATTTTGTTTTTAAAAACTTGATCTCTAAAAATAGATGAATATGTGAGGATATTAAGGAAATATTGTCTGGAATTATTTTTTATATTAAAAAAATAAACAAAATACACGAATGTTTCACGAAAAACAAAACAAAAAAAAACAACTAAACTTGCAGTAAAACTTAATTTTATCATAGCATTCTGCATCATTTTGAGGAAGAAAGATTAGAGGGATTTTTTATATGAAAAATGTATGAAAATTATGTGTCCAATGTATAGAATCTGAGATATTGTTTGGATGAATATTTGCTGCTTAAATATACCTTATTTAACAACCAAATTTAATTATTATATATTCAATTTTCAGGTTTTTATTGAGACACACACAAAACAAAAAAAAACTTTGAGCTTTATATATTAGATATGGAAGGAGGATAATTATAAAGTTGTATTGAAAAGTACTCACATGATGCCTACAAAATAAATGTACCATTACTGTAATAATTAAATATATTTCATATTACACAGTAAACTTGTATAAGAGGGCCAAGCCGACATTTGTAGTTTATGAGCCTCTTGAATGATTTCTTCTTGATTATAGAACTGCATTAATATTATTTGTACTCTATTTTTTTATAAATGCATTAACCCCAAGTAAACTTAGGAGTGAAAACAAAAAACAAGTAATCAGAAGAACAGTAGATAGCGATTGACATTGTGTGTACATTTTTGAAAATTAAAGTTGACTGGAAAGCATGGAGCCAGAAGAGAGTTCCACAAGTGAGAAGTGCAAAAATAAGAAACTGTTAGCAAAGAAGTTACAGTTACATCGAGCCAACTTGACTGTAAATTGATGAGACCTTGTTGCCAGTTAAGTACTGTGCTTAAATTCATAAAGTCTAGATACCATAGTGAAGAGCTCATCTGAACAATTATCATAAAAGTATTTGCAGAAAAGGCACAGGGTGGCAACTTTATGGTGGTGGGAAAGTGTCTGAAGCCAAGATGCCAGGTTAGGACCAATAATATTGCTGATTCTTCTTTGGATTTTATCAAGAATCTCTAAATATATAACAGGAGCACCTTTCCCTTACAATCTCACTCAATAACCATCATATAGAAGAGGCACAGAGAAGCTACGTTACGGCGGTAGGAAAGTGACTGAAGCCGAGATGCCAGGTCAGGACCAATAATATTGCTGATTCTTCTTTGGATTTTATCAAGGATCTCTAGAGATATACCAGGCTATATATGGCAGCTATATTCAAATCCTGGATGAATGATAGATATAGATATGTAACAGACTCTGGAGAGAAAAAATTATCTAGCACAACACAGTGAACCAACTTTGTTAGCAGCTGATCTGGCAATGGATTCAATGTAAGTTTTCTGCTCCATGTCAGCCAAGAATGTTAGCCTGAGAAGGCATGATGAGTCACTCTTCTGGTGGTTAGCATCGGCCATGCTGATGGAAGGCAGAAAAGGATCTCTTGGATGATTAACAGAGAGCAGTAAAACAAAACTTTCATATTTCTAATTAAAAAATGTGGCTTCAGGTGTAGAAAGCAGGGAAGAGCGAATATTCCTCAAAAGAGCTTAGATTTTGCATTTAATACATTTAGACTTTTCAGGAATTTTCAGTGCCAAAAATGGGTTTGTCACATACAAAAACATAGGAATATAGGTCTAAATCATGATTTTCTCATAAATACAAAGAAAATTATGTCAGAAACTGATATTTGGTGCATGGCATATAGTGTCAAAAGGTGAGAATGATCGATTTAACATGTGAAAGCAATGGAGTATGTTTTAAATGTCACCCTGAAAACAATTTTCCAGACTTAAATTTTGTAACAAAAAAAAAAAAAAAAAAATATTTGGGAATTTACACCAAAAAGGAGAAAAAAGTTTTGTCACAGGCATTTTTATGTTAACATTATTCAAAGTTGGGGTGGGCCAAATGTGGCAAGAATTTGACAGAATTTTGTGTTATAGGCTCCTTAAGTCCATTTGTGACATTGGTCATTTTTGGAAAAGATTGTCATGTT